TAGGCCGTCCGGCCCTTCGAGCCTGCTCCGCCATTCAATAAGATCATGGCTGATCTTTTCATGGACTCAGATCCACTTACCCGCGTTCTCACCGTATCCCTTAATTCCTTCATTGTTCAAAAAAGTATCTACCTTCTCTTTAAAAACGTTTACTGAAGTAGCATCAACTACTTCACTGGCCATGGAATTCCATAGATTAACAACCCTCTGGGTGAAGAAATTCCTTCTCAATTCAGTCCTAAATCTGCTCCCTCTAATCTTGAGGCTATGCCCTCTTGTCCTAGCTTCACCTGCCAGTGGAAACATCCTCTCTACTTCTGTCTTATCTATTCCCTTCGTAATTTTATATGTTTCTATAAGATCCTCCCTCAATCTTCTGAATTCCAATGAATATAATCCCAATCTACTCAGTCTCTCCTCATAAGCCAACCCCCTCAACTCCGGAATCAAACTAGTGAACCTCCTTTGCAGCCCCTCCACTGCCAGTACATCCTTTCTCAAGTAAGGAGACCAAAACTGCACACAGTATTCCAGGTGTGGCCTCACCTGCACCTTGTACAGCTGCAACATAACCTCTCTGCTTTTAATCTCAATCCCTTTAGCAATGAAGGACAAAATTCCATTTGCCTTCCTAATTACTTGTTGTACCTGCAGACCTACCTTCTGTGATTCATGCACAAGGACACCCAGGTCCCTCTGCATAGCAGCATGCTGCAACTTTTTACCATTCAAGTAATAATCCTTTTTACTATTACTCCTACCAAAATGTATGACTTCACATTTATTTACATTGTATTCCATCTGCCAGACCTTTCCTCTGCAAAGTTTCACAGTCCTCTGCACACTTTGCTCTGCCACTCATCTTAGTGTCATCTGCAAACTTTGACACCCTTCACGTGGTCCCCAACCCCAAATCATCTATATAAATTGCAAATAATTGTGGTCCCAACACCAATCCCTGAGGCACACCACTAGTCACTGACTGTCAGCTAGAATAGCACTCATTTATCCCCACTCTTTGCTTCCTGTTAGTCATCCAATCCTCTATCCATGCTAATACTTTACCCTTAACGCCATGCATCCTTATCTTATGCAGTAGCCTCTTGTGCGGCACCTTATCGAAGGCCTTTTGGAAATCTAGGTACACCACGTCCACTGGGTCCCCATTGTCCACCTTGCTCGTAATGTCTTCATAGAATTCCAAAAGATTTGTCAAGCATGACCTGCCCTTCATGAACCCATGCTGCTTCTGCCCAACGGGACAATTTCTATCAAGATGCTTTGCTATTTCTTCCTTGATAATAGACTCAAACATCTTCCCCACTACAGAGGTTAAGCTAACCGGTCTATAATTCCCTATCTTTTGTCCACTTCCCTTTTTAAACAGTGGCGTCACATTTGCTGTTTTCCAATCTGCTGGGACTGTCCCAGAGACCAGCGAATTTTGGAAAATTACCACCAGTGCACCTGCTATTTCTCCTGCCATCTCTTTTAGTACCCTGGGATGCATTCCATCAGGGCCAGGAGACTTATCAATCCTTAGCTCCATTAGCTTGCCCAACACAACCTCTTCCGTAATAATGATTGTTTCCAGGTCCTCACCTACCTTCGTCTCTTTGTCAATTACTGGCATGTTATTAGTGTCCTCCACTGTGAAGACCGATACAAAATACCTGTTCAATGCCTTGGCCATTTCATCATATCCCATAACTAAATTCCCCTTCTCATCTTCTAAAGGGCCAACGTTTACTTTAGCCACTCTTTTTCGTTTTAAATATTTATAGAAACTTTTGCTATCTGTCTTTATATTCTGTGCTGGTTTTTTTTCATGTTCTATCTTACTTTTCTTTGTAGCTCTTTATGTGGCTTTCTGTTGACCTTTAAAGTTTTCCCAATCTTCTAGTTTCATGCTGTTTTTGGCCACTTTGTATGCCTTCTCTTTCAATTTGATAGCCTCCCTTATTTCTTTAGACACCCATGGCAGATTACCCCTTTTCTTACAGTCCTTCCTTTTCACTGGAATATACTTTTGCTGAGCACTTTGAAAAATTGCTTTGAAAGTCCTCCACTGCTCGTCAACTGTCCCACCATAAAATCTTTGTTTCCAGTCTACTTTAGCCAAGTCCTCCCTCATTCTATTGTAGTTGCCCTTGTTCAAGCACAGGACCCTGGTATTGGATTTTATCTTCACACTCTCCATCTGTATTCTAAATTCATACTATGATCACTCCTTCCAAGAGGATCCCTAACTATGAGGTCATTAATTATTCCTGTCTCATTACTCAGGACCAGATCTAGGATAGCTTGCTCCCTCGTCGGTTCCATTACATACTGTTCAAGAAAACTATCACGGATACACTCAACGAACTCCTCCTCAAGGCTACCCTGACTGAGCTGGTTCGACCAATCTACATGTAGATTAAAATCCCCCATGATAATTGCCGTACCATTTTTACAGGCATTAGTTATTTCTTTGTTTATTGCCCGCCCCAATGTGATGTTATTATTTGGTGGCCTATAGACTACGCCTATCAGTGACTTTTACCTCTTAGAATTTCTAATTTCCACCTAAATGGATTCAATCTCATTCTCCATAGAACCTAGATCATCTCTCAGCACTGCCCTGATGTCGTCCTTGAATATCAGAGCTACACCACCTCCCTTACCTTCCTGTCTGTCCTTCCGAATAGTCTGGTACCCTTGGACATTTAACTCCCAGTCGTGACCATCCTGTAACCATGTCTCCGTAATGGCTACCAAATCATATTCATTCTCGATGATTTGTGCCATTAACTCATCAACCTTGTTACGAATGCTACCAGCATTCAGATAAAGTGCCTTTATGCTGGCTTTCTTACCCTCATGATTTCCAACATCTCTAATAACATCTCCTGAGTTATCCTTCCTTTTTGCTTCTTTCATAGTCTGCCTTGAACTTAAACCCTCCTGCACACATGCTAACCTGCTGCTTACCTTTTTATTTACCATCATACTCCCCGTCATTTTCCCTTTCCCCTCCCCCCAACTCACTAGTTTAAAGTTCTAGTGACCACCTTATTTATCCTTTTCACTAGAACACTGATTCCAGATCGGTTCAGGTGGAGACCGTCCCACGGTACAGATCCCTCCGGTTCCAAAACTGATGCCAATGCCCCATGAAATGGAACGCCTCTTTCCCACACCACTCCCTTAGGCACGTGTTTACTTTCCTAATTTTCTTATCCCTAAGCCAATTTGCACACGGCTCGGGCAGTAATCCGGAGATTATGACCCTCGAGGACCTGTTCCTTAATTTCGTTCCTAGTGCTTGATAATCCCCAAACAGGTCCTCCATCCTAGCCTTGCCTGTGTTGTTAGTCCCAACGTGGACCACAACAACTGGATCCTCCCCCTCCCGCTCCAATATCCTTTCAAGCCGGTCAGAGATGTCCTGCACCTTGGCACCGGGCAGGCAACACACCATGCGGGACTCCCAATCCGGCTTGCAAAGGATACTATCTATCCCCCTAACTATAGAATCCCGCTGCCCAAATATATTCCCGGCAGCCCCCTGGTCCTCACTGTCACCTCTCCCCCTGCTGCTGAAAAATGAAGGCCGCTGACGCTCGAGGTAAGCCCTTTAAGAGGGAAAACTTACTTACCTTCCTGGTAAGGGAATGGTGACAATGGTGTATAACAAGAAACTAGCACCTGGTGTCTTTATCCTTCTTAGTATTGGAGGTCAGAGGTTTGGGAGGTACAAAGTAGCCTTCATTTCTCCTGTTGTTAGTTCACACTACTGCCAAGTTTAAAAAGACAGATGGAGTAGATGCTTGAGGCCGGCAGTCTATCAAACAGATTGCTTTGTACTGAACAGCGCTGAGCTTTATTATTACTGTAACTGCATCCATCCATGAGAGTGGAGTGTATTCTGTCATACTTGTAAATGTGTGCTTTGGAGGTGAGGAAAGGCTTTGGGGTGTTCACTGAGTGTTCATAGCATTTTGCACAACATGGTTGTGCCCTTGGTACATTATGCCTTGGTATTCTGTCCAATCACTGCTACCTGCATTTCCATTAATACCCAATGGGGCAGCACGGTGTTTATCCTTGGGCGATTGTGGAGTTTGCACATTCTCCCTGTGTCTGCGTGGGTTTCCTCTGGGTGCTCGGGTTTCCTCCCACAGTCCAAAGATGTGCAGATGTGGATTGGCCAAGCTAAATTGCCAACAGTGTTCAGGGACGTACAGGTCAGGCAGATTATCCATGGTAAATGCAGGGTTACAGAGATAAGGTAGGGATGTGGGTATGGGTGGGATGCTGTTTGAAATGTCGTTGTGGAGTCGATGGGCTGAATGGCCAGCTTCCACACTGTAAGGATTCTATAATTCAATGTCACCTGTTGTGTGACCTGCCTGACATCTCCCATTGATTTCACCCTCTAATGGAGAAGACGCATCCAGCTTCGCTGTTGAATACTTGGTCTCTTCCTCTGTCCAGGTAACAGTGGCCTTGACTTATATTGGCTGTGTTTGTTACAGCACTTATATCTGCTTCGAGATTTCGAGATACCTGTTGGTTCTGATGCCCAAGGTCCTAAGTTGCTTTGCTTAATGCAGTTTTGAAAATGACTTGCAGGAGACATTTTACTTACTTTTCAAGGGAAAGTTATTTAATTTATCTTTTGCTATGCCCCATCACCCCTATCCTAACCCTAACTCCTGCCCTCTCATTCTGCTCTCTCATTCTGCTCTCTCTTCTCTCCTCTCTGTATGAAGTAAATATTCGAAGATAAAGTTGCTTTTGGTTGATGTGAAATGTGTTGTACAGCTAAAAAAACTAATTTTTATTTAAGTACTTTAATCAAATGTATTAATTCATCCTTTTTTTTCTTGCTTGCATCATAATCCAATGCTTTCTGCTGCATTACACATCGTGACCTTAGGTGCCTACTTACTGCAGTCTATTCTGGGACCAGATTTCAGTGTAAATCTTACTGGCCACTTATCACATTTCCATACCTTTTAATATTAGCTTACGACTGCTGCTTCCTTAAATGTCAAGATAAGTTAACATTTTTCCGAATATATTCTCTGGACCTTATGTCAGCCTGAAATGAGAAGAAGAAGAAAAATATTTACACCAGAATTACTGGGACAAGTTCAGTGACATATTTGTGACAGTCATGATTTGTGTGGCAATCATATAAAATGGAGACACGTGGGGATGAGAATATAGCCAGGAGGCAGCAGTCACATACGAACATGTTCGTTGCCCAGTCTACCAATGTGACTGGCTGTCTCACAATTACTTTTTGTGCCCCTTTTACTAAAACGCCGATACAAAATAATCTGGACGTGGCAGCTAATGAAAGATATGACACACAGGCACAAAGGAGAGAGTTTGCCGAGTCTGACTTGTAAATTTTCTTGGGTGAAACACAATCTAGGAGAGACTGCATGGCTATGACAGAAAAGCCACCAAAAAGGATCACTTATGCCATATCAAGTCAGTTGGCACTGGCAATGACTACCAGCTCTCTCGGACTGTGAGAAGGTTGCCGCAGCAAAGTTCAATACTTCACCAGGGTAGGAAACATTAGAAGTGTTAATAATACCTGCACCAGAATCTTTGAGCCATTGAAACTCAGGAGCCAAATCTGCCCACTCCCCTTTGACTGTAATTACATTTCCAGTCTTGAAAAAGGGTGATGGGACTATTACTTCATTAGACATGAAAACTCATACAGTCCATTATACGATTTTAACATTATAAAGTAAATTTCAACTTCAAAACTTATAAGTAGAAAAGGCTTGCTATTCACTGGTATGAATAGGTATAACAAACACAGTCCGTGCACGTGGCTTGTGATGTAATGATGTGGAGGTGCCGGTGTTGGACTGGGGTGGACAAAGTCAGAAGCCACATGACACCAGGTTATAGTCCAACAGGTTTATTTGAAATCACAAGCTTTCGGAGCCTCAGTCCTTCTTCAAGTGTTAGTGAGAGAAGTAGTATCAGATCCTAATTTATAAGTAAAAGACCAAAGGTTCACACCATTGATGAGGAAGTACTAAACAAACCTAAAATGCTGTTAAATCTTTAATCAGTTAGAAGGTTTTAATTGATTAATATGTATATGTAAATCCTTGAATTCCTTTCAAGTCACGGTCCTGAGAGAACTAAAGGTTTTATCAGTGTAAAGAAGAGGTGACATTTTAGGTCAGACAATGCATGTTAGGTGTGAGGCCTTGTTTAGACTCTGTTCATGTTTTAGTTTGGAGTCAGGCTGGTTTTATTTTTAAAGTAGGAATTTATAAAAGGCCACATTGACTGACTGTCTATAAATTGTGTGCTTTTTGAACAAAATAAAATGTATCTGCAAATATAAATTCACCCCATAGACTCACATGTGTATGCATGCGTATATGTGTGTGTTTGTGTGACAGAGAGAGAGAGTGAGGGGGGGGAACAGAGGATGTGTATGAGGGAGGAGAGAAAGAGTGTGTGTGCGTGAGTGGGGGAGAGAGAATGCGTGTGTGAAGAGGGGGAGAGAGAGAGTGTATGTGTGTTTGTCTGTGTGTGAGAGAGAGAGTGGGGGTAGAGATTGTGCGTGTGCATGTGTGTGTGTGCGCGCGCGTGGGGGAGAGTGTGTGTGTGTGTTTGTGGGGGGGAGAGAAAGTGGGGGACAGAGTATGCGTGTCAGTGTGAGTGAGGGAAGAGAGAGATTGTGCGTGCATGGGTGGGGGAAAGACACTGAGTGCATGAGGGGGGAGAGAGTGTGTGTGTTGTGAGTGAGGGGGGAGAGAAAGAGTGTGTGTGTGTGTCAGGTGGGGAGAGGGAGTGTGTGTGTGAGTGAGGGGGGGAGAGAGAATGTGTGTGTGCGTGAGAGAGGTGGGGGAGAGACAGTGTGGGGGAGTGTGTGTGTGTGTGAGTGAGTGAGTGTATTGAGTGGTGGGGTCAGCTGTAGTGTGACATGAACCCAAGATCCCGGTTGAGGCCGTCTTCATGGATACCGAACTTGCCCCTGCTCGGCAACTCTGCGTTGTTGTGTATCCCAAAGTCTGCCTTGGAGGAAGTTTACCCGAAGATCCGAGGCTGATTGTCCTTGAACTTGACCACAATCTCTCTCTCCCCGCCTCACGTACACACACTCTCTATTCCCCACTCACGCACACACATTCTCTCTCTGCCCCTCCCACACACACTTTCTCCTCCCCTCACCCACACATGCTGTCTCTCCCCGCTCACTCTCTCTCACACAAACAAACAAACACACACACACACACACACATGAATCTATGGGGTGAATTTATATTTGCAGATACATTTTATTTTGTTCAAAAATCTCACAATTTATAGACAGTCAGTCAATATGGTCTTTAATAAATTCCTACTTTAGAAATAAAACCAGTCTGACACTAAACCAAAACACAAGCAGATTCTAAACACGGCCTCACACCTAACATGCACTGTCTGACCTAAAATGTCACCTCTTCTTTACACTGATAAAACCTTTAGTTCTCTCAGGACCATGATTTCAAAGGAACTCGGGGATTTACATATACGTATTAATTAACTAAAACCTTCTAACTGATTAAAGATTTAACAGCATCTTAGGTTTCTTTAGTATATCCTCATCAATGGTGTGAACCTTTGGTCTTTCACTTATAAATTAGTGTCTGATACTATCTCTCTCACTAACACTTGAAGGAGGACTGAGGCTCTGAAAGCTTGGATTTCAAATAAACCTGTTGGACTATAACCTGGTGTCGTGTAATTTCGGGCTTGTGATGTAATACACGCTCTCCCATGTGAGCTCCTAAGTATGCTTATCTTGACAGATCCATAAAGTGATGCCTCAAGACTTGCATCCGAGTAGCAGAAAAGGCAACATCAAACACAAGAGTCACAAATACAAGACCTGCGATAACACAGTTAAAAGTGCTTCTAAACAGAATGTCTTGGTTTCTATATTCTCTCTTAAAAGTAGCAAAGGGTAAGACTCAAAAACACCATATTTCATGTTTTGAGACAACAAGGTGCAGAGCTGGATGAACACAGCAGGCCAAGCAGCATCATAGGAGCAGAAAGGCTGACGTTTCGGGCCTAGACCCTTCATCAGAAATGGGGGAGTTGAAGGGGGTTCTGAAATAAATAGGGAGAGAGGGGGAGGTGGATAGAAGATGGATAGAGGAGAAGATAGGTGGAGAGGAAACAGACAGGTCGAAGAGGCGGGGATGGAGCCAGTAAAGATGAGTGTAGGTGGGGAGTTAGGGAGGGGATAGGTCAGTCCAGGGAGGACGGACAGGTCAAGGGGGCGGGATGAGGTTAGTAGGTAGGAGATGGGGGTGCGGCTTGAGGTGGGAGGAGGGGATAGGTGGGAGGAAGAACAGGTTAGGGAGGCGGGGATGAGCTGGGCTGGTTTTGGGATGCGGTAGTGGGAGGGGAGATTTTGAAGCTTGTGAAATCCACATTGATACCATTGGGCTGCAGGGTTCCCAAGCGGAATATGAGTTGCTGTTCCTGCAACCTTCGGGTGGCATCGTTGTGGCACTGCAGGAGGCCCAGGATGGACATGTCATCTGAGGAATGGGAGGGGGAGTTGAAATGGTTCGTGACTGGGAGGTGCAGTTGTTTAGTGCGAACCGAGCGTAGGTATTCTGCAAAGCGGTCCCCGAGCCTCTGCTTGGTTTCCCCGATGTAGAGGAGGCCACAACAGGTACCGCGGATGCAGTATACCACATTGGCAGATGTGCAGGTGAACACCTGCTTGATGTGGAAAGTCTTCTTGGGGCCTGGGATGGGGGTGAGGGGGGAGGTGTAGGGGCAGGTGCAGCACTTCCTGCAGTTGCAGGGAAAAGTGCCGGGTGTGGTGGGGCTGGAGGGGAGTGTGGAGCGGATAAGGGAGTCACGGACAGAGTGGTCCCTCCGGAAAGCAGATAAGGGTGGGGAGGGAAAGATGTCTTTGGTGGTGGGGTCGGATTGCAGATGGCGGAAGTGTCGGAGGACGATGCATTGGATCTGGAGGTTGGTGGGGTAGTACGCGAGGACGAGGGGGATTCTTTTTTGGTTGTTATTGCAGGGACGGGGTGTGAGGGATGAGTTGCGGGAAATGTGGGAGACACGGTTGAGGGTGTTCTCGACCACTGAGGGGGGGAAGTTGCGGTCCTTGAAAAACGAGGACATCTGAGATGTACGGGAGTGGAATGCCTCATCCTGGGAGCAGATACGGCAGAGGCGAAGGAATTGGGAATAGGGAATGGCATTTTTGCAGGAAGGTGGGTGGGAGGAGGTGTATTCTAGGTAGCTGTGGGAGTCAGTGGGCTTGAAATGGATATCGGTTTCCAGGTGGTTGCCCGAGATGGAGACAGAGGGGTCCGGGAAGGGGAGAGAGGTATTAGAGATGGTCCAGGTGAACTTAAGGTTGGGGTGGAAGGTGTTGGTGAAGTGGATGAACTGTTCGAGCTCCTCGTGGGAGCACGAGGCGGCGCCGATACAGTCATCAATGTAACGAGGGAAGAGGTGGGGTTTAGGGCCAGTGTAGGTACGGAAGAGGGATTGTTCCACGTAACCTACAAAGAGGCAAGCATAGCTTGGGCCCATGCGGGTACCCATGGCCACCCCCTTTATCTGTAGGAAGTGGGAGGAATTGAAAGAGAAGTTGTTGAGGGTGAGGACGAGTTCGGCCAAGCGGATGAGGGTGTCAGTGGAGGGGGACTGGTCGGGTCTGCGGGACAGGAAGAATGGGAGGGCCTTTAGGCCATCTCTATGGGGAATGCAGGTGTATAGGGACTGAACTGTTTTATTCTGCGTGAGACAGAAATCGATGTAAGATCCGGGCCTAGCAGAAAAATAATTTGATTAAATTACTGGTACATGGTATTCGAATGAAAAGTAATCTTCTTACTTTGGCTACAAAAATTCGTTTTAATTACTCTGAGTCCCACTGACATGCCAAGTTGACTGAATTAATTGACTTACAAGCTTAAAAAACACAGCTTATGACTATTTTTACAATGCACGTTTGCTTTGTAGGCAGCCAATCCATGCGTTTTCTAATTTTAGTGATAAAGTAGATGTAAGTATAATGGGATGGGAAGGGTGACA